AGGCTCCGCAAACCGGAGGCTCCGGAACGGTGTGGGGTTGTTGAGCTTGCACGCAAATCCCAGTCCCCTTGACTGTGCCGCTGTGATTGTTGCAACCTCTAACCAATTCTCTCCATCTCCTTTGATAACACCAGCCTGCTGGGAGACCTTGCCTCCAGGTAACGCCCTCAGACTCCGCCTGCTGCGGCTGACCGTGGCCCCTACCCCAACCCAGCATGCTTGGGGGGACCACCCCTCCCACTTTTCTCATCTTCCGCTCGCCATCTTTTTCTCCTTTTTATTTTGCCATCTCCGTCATTTCTCTTCCTCCATCGGAAGTTTTCGTTTTGCGCTTGGACCCCTCCAAGCTGCCACATCGGACCAGCCTCAACACCCCACCCGGTACCCCTCCAGATCCTGGTTCTCTAGTCCAGGGGTCGGCATTTTTTTTTAGCTGCAGGCCGGTCCACTGTCCCTCAGACCTTGTAGTGGGCAGGTGGGGAGCTGGAAGAAGAGGCGACAGGGCAAGTAGTCAGCCCCAGCCGCTGCGCTTACCTTCCCAGGGGCTGCCACCGCCACCGCCTCTGCTGCTTCTCGTGAGTAGGCTAGCAAGCTCGTCTGCTCTGCTCTCTGGCCCACAGGTGCACTAGGGCGGCGGAGGGAAGTTGAGCGGCGCGAAAGGGCTTGTTCTGGAGAGGGGCTGCTTAAAATGGTGCTTAGCCAGCTTAGCCCAGCCTCCTTCCTCCTCCATGTTGCAAAATATGAGTCAGAAATATCAGAAGCAACACAATGGCCAGAAATAGTAACAATGTGAAAAACTTAATGGAATAACTCAAAACATCAAAACTAACAAACCAAAGTCTCTGGAAGTCCTAAAATGAATCACGGGGCCAGACTTTACCCAGCGGAGAGCAAGCTGTGAAGCTTTGTATAATCAGCAAATGTCCAATTCTGATGTCCCAACTCTGAACTCTGCAGAACGGACAGTCCGCAGGGTGGATCCTGAAGGCCATTGGGCCTGATCCAGCCCGCGGGCCTTAGTTTGCCGATCCCTGCTCTAGTGCAACCCCCTTCAGTGGAGGAATCTGGGCAGGTGGCCATCTGAGGACTTAGAAAGCTCCAAGGAAGGGGAATTCACCACCTCTCAGGGGAGTCGGTTGCGCCGTCGGAAAAACCTCCCACCCCATGGCTCTGCTGGAGGTACCTCCACAGATTCTGCAGCTGCGCCGTCGCCATGTGCTAGCTTGTAATGCAATCCTGTAGCTCTTGGAGTCATAGAGTTGGAAGGGACCCCCAGCCGCCATGTAGTTCACCCCTTGCAGTTGAGGAATCACAACTAAAGCATCCAGGGCAGATGGCCATCCAGCCCCCCTCTGGGAAAAAAACCCTCCACTGTCTTCCAAGGGAGTCCATTCCGTGGTCGAACAGCCCTCCCCACCAGAAAGTTATTCCTAAGGTTCAGTGAGAATCTCCTTTCTTGCAGTTGGCTTACAATTCCCTTCCATCCCCAACCAAGGCCTCTTGTGGCCTGCCCAGAAGGATTTATTTGTTGGAAGCCACCTAGAGTGGCTGGGGCAACCCAACCAGATGGACGGGGTAATAATAATAATAATAATAATAATAATAATAATATGGTTATCCACCATTGGCAACAAGATGGGGTCTGGGTCTGATCCAGCGCAACTCTCTCTAGATACATAAAGGGGAACAGGCAAATTCATGGAGCTCTTTCTGGATGGCCAAATGAAGAACAGAAGGACACAAAAAGGGCTCTCCTGTGGCCCATCCTGCTCTCCCGGGGGCCAGCCAGATGCTCCATAGGGAAACCCGCAAGCGAGATTCAAACCTAGGATCAAACTCCCCTCCTGCAGTTTCCAGCAAATGTTATTCAGAAGCATTGTTTCCTCCAGCTGTGAAGAAGAGCCTGGCCGTCCTAGTTAGTAGCCATCGATAGCCCCCCTCCATGAAATGGCCTAGTCCTCTTTTATTTTATTTTTTATAAGATATTTATTGAAATTTTCAAAATGTTACAAAATAAAAATAAAAAAGAAGAAAATACAAAAAATAAAAATGGTTAAAAACAACTCAATCTTTCCATTACATATTTTTCGTTAGCTTGTTTCCCGGACCTCCTCACGCCTCCCTTTTTTGTATTCCAGTTCAAATTGTTGGTTCAGCAAATCCATACCCTCTTTATTTATCTTAATCTTTAATCTTAAAGTATTGTAACATTAAATTTTTACCTATTAATAACCCATTTTTCATATTCCCTTGTAGTATTACAGCTGAAAACCACTTAATTTCTATCCAACATCATTCTAACATTCATTAATTTTGCAGTATTTCTGTAAATAGTCTTTAAATTTCTTCCAATCTTCTTCCACCGACTCTTCTCCCCGGTCTCGGATTCTGCCAGTCATTTCCGCCAATTCCATGTAGTCCATCACCTTCATCTGCCATTCTTCCAGGGTGGGTAGATCTTGTGTCTTCCAGTACTTTGCAATAAGTATTCTTGCTGCTGTTGTAGCATACATAAAGAAAGTTCTATCCTTCTTTGGCACCAATTGGCCAACCATGCCCAGGAGAAAGGCCTCTGGTTTCTTGAGAAAGGTATACTTAAATACCTTTTTCATTTCATTATAAATCATTTCCCAGAAAGCCTTAATCCTTGGGCACGTCCACCAAAGGTGAAAGAATGTACCTTCAGTTTCTTTACATTTCCAACATTTGTTATCGGGCAAATGATAGATTTTTGCAAGCTTGACTGGGGTCATGTACCACCTGTATATCATTTTCATTATATTCTCTCTTAAGGCATTGCAATCCGTAAACTTCATACCTGTGGTCCATAACTGTTCCCAGTCAGCCATCATTATGTTATGTCCCACATCCTGTACCCATTTGATCATAGCAGATTTCACCGTTTCATCTTGAGTATTCCATTTCAACAGCAAATTATACATCTTTGACAAAATCTTAGTTTTGGGTTCTAACAGTTCTGTTTCTAATTTTGATTTTTCCACCTGGAAACCAATTTTCTTGTCCAAATTATATGCCTCCATTATCTGATAATAATGAAGCCAGTCTCGCACTTCGTTTTAATTTCTCAAAACTCTGCAATTTCAGTCTATCTCCATCTTGTTCCAAAATTTCCCAATATTTCGGCCATTTGGCCTCCATATTGAGCTTTTTCAGAGCTTTCGCTTCCATCGGTGACAGCCACCTTGGGGTTTTATTTTCCAATAAATCCTTATATCTTATCCAAATATTAAACAATGCTTTCCTGACAATATGATTCAAATGCTTTATGTGCTTTGACCTTATCATACCATAAATATGCATGCCATCCAAATACATTGTTAAAACCTTCTAGATCCAAAATGTCAGTGTTTTCAAGAAGCAGCCATTCTTTCAACCAGCAAAAAGCTGCTGATTCATAGTAAAGTTTGAAGTCTGGCAGGGCAAATCCACCCCTTTCCTTTGCATCAGTTAATATCTTAAATTTTATTCTGGGCTTCTTGCCCTGCCAGACAAATCTAGAAATGTCTCTCTGCCACTTCTTGAAGCAATCCATTTTGTCCACAATTTGCAATGTTTGAAACAAAAACAACATTCTAGGCAATACATTCATTTTTATCGCAGCAATACGACCCAGCAGTGAAAGCTTCAAATTTGACCAAATTTCTAAATCTTTTTTCACTTCAGCCCAGCATTTTTCATAGTTGTCTTTAAATAGATTCCCATTTTCTGCTGTCATATTAATCCCCAGGTATTTCACTTTCTTAACCACTGTTAAACCTGTTTCATTCTGAAACCTCTCTCTCTCAATCGGTGTTAAGTTTTTCTCTAAAACCTTGGTTTTTAACTTATTCAGTTTAAATCCTGCAACCTGACCAAATTCTTGAATCAGTTCTAAAACCCTTTTAGTACTAGATTCTGGCTCCTGTAACATCAATACTAAGTCATCTGCAAATGCTCTCAATTTGTACTGTTTGGCTCCGACTTGTATACCTTTAACCAACTGGTCCCTTCTAATCATATTCAGCAGGACCTCCAGGACCGATATAAAAAGCAGTGGGGAGATTGGGCAACCTTGTCGTGTCCCTTTTTCTATCTTAAATTCTTCCGTCACCACATTATTTACAATTAGTTTAGCCTTTTGGCCTAGTCCTCTTTTAAAGCCATTTAGGTTGGCGGCCACCTCTGCTTCCTGTGGCAGGGAGTTCCGCAGATCACCTGTGTGCAGAAGTGCTTTCATTTATCCGTCCCAAATCTTCCAGCCTTCAGCTTCATTGGACGCCAATGAGTTTCCACGTCTTGTCCTCCCACCCAGAGGTGCTCTGGGTGCAAACGCTCCAAACCTCTTGCTTTTCCTCGCTGTCTCCGGCAGATTTCGCTTTTGAGAGGTTCCTACCGTTCCAGGGGCTCAGCATCCTCTCTCAGCCACCCTGATTCATTGATGACAGCAGGCAGCATAAAACTGAGATGCTGCAGAGAGTTAAGGGCTCAAGTCCCAAGAAGATGCATCCCCAAAAGCAGCTCCCTCTGATCAGCTGGGTGCATCTTGATCTCAGATCCATGCAGAAAGAGAGATTTAGCTCAATGCCGCCTCCTGCTGGCAGAGAAGAGCCAGCCCATTATTTTCCTGTCCTGGGCAATAACTTTACACTTGTACTCCATTGGAACCGAATTCGCAGAATCATGGAAGTTGTAGACTTGGACGGGACCAGTTGCATGATGGGCGCCATTTATTTATTAACAACTTTTCTATATCCCTCGACCGTAAGAAGACTTCAAGGCAAAAGCACAGCCGCCCAGAGTGGCTGGGGAAACCCAGCCAGATGGGCGGGGTACAAATAATAAATTATTATTATTATTATTATTATTAAAACATTTAAATCGTGGATTACAACCCCGCACACAGTTACAAACCGGTGTTTAAAAGCATTCGGAAGGCGATTTCAAAAATCAACTCTAGCTAAAAAGAAATAAAAACCTGTGATGTCCATGTGTCTGGACAGGCTTAGCTCAGATGATTAGAGCGTGGTGCTGATATTGCCTAGGTTGCAGGTTCGATCCCCGCATGGGACAGCTGCATATTCCTGCGTTGCAGGGGGTTGGACTAGATGACCATTGGGGACCCCTTACAATTCTACAATTCTATGATTCTGTGGTTCAGGGTGGATAAAAGAAAGTACTTCTTCACGCAACCCAATGAGAAAAGTCATCTAAAAGAAAAAATTGACAGCAATAGTTTAAGACTTTCAAAAAGTTAGCAATAGACTAATAATGCATTCAAACTCAATGTTCTAGACATCTGGGTAGGCTTGCCCAAACAAAAGCTGAAAAGGGCACTGCGAAGGTGCCTTCCTCACGTCAACAGGCAGGGAGTTCCAAAGTGCAGGTGCCGCCATACCAAACAATCAAGTTACAGTGGTACCTTGGTTCTCAAACTTAATCCGTTCCAAAACCAAATTGTTCCAAAACCAAGGCACGCTTTCCCATAGAAAGTAATGCAAAACGGATTAATCCATTCCAGACTTTTAAAAACAACCCCTAAAACAGCAATACAACATGGATTTTACTATCTAACGAGACCATTGATCCATAAAACGAAAGCAATCAACCATGTACCGCAGTCACACAATCAATCAATCAATCAATCAATCAGTAGCTGAACTGGGTTCCACACAGTCACAAAGACGAAACAAAAAAAGCCGCAAAAACGCAAAATAAATAGCAAAAACAGGCAAACCTCAGCGTAACACTCAAAACGGAGCACGTTCGTATTCCAAAAAAGGTTTGCAAACCGGAACACTTAACGTCTGGGTTTTGCAATGTTTGGGTTCCAATTTGTTTGAGTACCAAGGCATTTGAGAACCAGGGTAACACTGTATTGACTTTTGGAACTGCAACCCCCCCAATCCCAGCAAAGCAGTCCCCCTCCTCCTTGTTCAAGCCCCTCACAGCCATTCAGTCGTGGTCCCAAACATCTGGGGGGTGTTGCAGGCTGCAGAAGGCTTCGCTGGAGCCTGAGCAAACTAACTCGGACTGTTTTGGGGCGCTCCTTGGGGCTGCTCACTCTCTTGTCTCTCTTTCCAGCGACGTGGCTGTGGAGCTGCCATTCACCCTCATGCACCCCAAGCCCAAGGAGGAGCCTCTGCAACGGGACGGTGAGTTGAGTGTCTGCCCCACTCCGCAAGGGGGCTCTGCTTGGTGGGGGTCTCGTTGGTGTGGGAATGTTCAGGGTGGCAGGAGAGGATAGATTGTTTATTAATATCCTTCCTAACTGGCGCTAGCAAGTTCTATAACTCAGCAGTGTTTTACATTCCCCCTTTTTACATGCACAGCAGATAGCTGGTTGCAGGCTCGTGTGGGCCTCTCACTATTATACAATTCAGTCTGTCTCAGATTGAATTGTGCATTCCTGGTAAGTTGCATGGCAAGTTCCCACCCCCCGTGGAAATAATGACATATGACACAATTATTAAGGTTAATGGGCTAAAAAAGGCCACAACTTTATTGGTTACAGGTATTGGCTTAGGCATTGGTCCTAACTGACCATATCCGACCTCAGCCCATCCGCTTGAAATCAGGGAAGGGTTAATCACCAGTAGAGGGAGTCCTGCTGATGCACATCAACTAGGAACTCCCCCAGGGTCACTGATAGGGGGCATGCCTTAGGCCCTCACCTCCCTATGCTTCGGACAGGGCCACGCCCCCCAGAATCCTTTAATGGACTACCCTTCAATATGTGGGGCAGGTGATGGCGCTACCTCCCCTCTTCCATCTACAGAACTATACCAATGCCTAGCCGCCAGTACCAAGAAAGTGATGATTTGCTATGAGGTAGGCAAAAACCAAGTGGCTGGTGCCAATTTGCCAAGTGGAAAAAATTCCTACCAGGCCCCGCAACGGCGACCAACCAAGGTTCCATAGCAAAGCCTAAGAACGAGAACCTTATAGGGAGGGAGGGTGGGAAAAGCAGGAACAGCTGGCAGGTGGCAAAGAGGGAGATCCCCAGCTGCGTCCTGCTTTAAACAAGGCAGGCCACACCCCCACAGCCAGCTGATTGGCTGGCCAGGAGGTGATGTGGCCGGGAATCCCCTCAATCGTGCGGGGGCTGGGGCCGTAAAGACCGCAACTCCACCTCCTCCGAAGGGCGGAGTGGCTTTCCCTTTAATCCCTCTTAAAAGAATAAAGACACGACAATCTTATTTAAAGTCAATAAAAGAAGTTTACATCAGTTCACAGTTGGATTCCTGAAGGCAGGCTTAGTTACAAATATGTACATGTGGATCTACCCCATATGGGGGAATAATCCCAGTGCTTCTGCTAGCTAGCAGAGCACTCCTAGCTAAAAAGCTGGTCCAACGAAGATTGAAGTGAAAAAGGGAGAGAGTGCTGGGTGACTCGTCCTTTTGTTACCTGGACAGGTAAGGTCACGCCCACCTCTAGTCACATGCAGGGGAAGGGGATGCTCAAGCCCAAGAGGAACAGGAAGTTTCGACTGGGTGGACCAACATCCCCTTGCATGTCCACTCTAGGAAAACAAGGAATGTTGTACTTGACTGCTCCCAGCGGATTACATCCCACAGTTGGGAGCATCTCGCTTTGGAAGGACCCAGTTTCAGCCATGAGGCTGGAAGCCCAAACTTGTTCCACGGCAGCGCGGTTGTTAGGACGGAGCTTGTGCATCGACAGGACCTGTGCCCCAGAGCAGCCTTCCCAATGTCAACCGGCAGGGAGTTCCAACGTTTAGGTCCTGCCATACCAAAGGACTGAGTTCTTCCAAACGGTAGAACGAGCCAGTTTCACAGGCTTGGGACTCCATCTATTGTTGGACTACAACTCCCATCATTCCTAGCTAGCAGGACCAGTGGTTAGGAATGATGGGGGCTGGTACCCCCCCCCCAAAAAAGCTCAATAACTCTGGGCAATTTCTCCTCTAAAAATTTATTTGTTGCGGTCCCCAAAAATACATGAGGGGGTGCTATACACAGGAAAATATGGCAAACCGTGGACGCTTGGGTTGTGAATGTGATCTGTGCGGGAGGCACATTCGCAACCCGCAGTGTTCACAACCCGCAGCGCCGCGTCTGTGCACGTGTGGGTTGCAATTTGGCACTTCTGCGCATGTGCAAAGCGCAATTTAGCACTTCTGTGCATGCGAGGCTGCCGAAACCCAGAAGTAACCTGTTCCGGTTCTTTGGGTTTTGGCGAGTCCGTAACCCAAAAAAACCGCAACCTGAAGCGTCTGTAACCCGAGGTATGACTGTACTGTGATCCTTTTATGTGAACCGCCCTGAGACCTTCGGGTATAGGGCGGTATATAAATTCTTAATAATAATAATGATGATGATGGGGAAATAATGGCTGACTTCCGCCGCTCGATAAAACTAACCGTTTGCCCCGATTCCGTTTGTTCAGTTCCAGAAAATGAAGCTCCAATTGACACAAATCTCATAGAGCTTGATACGAAGTAAGCCGGACTCACTGTGGGGGGAGGACGATGGGGGGGGGACGTCCACATGGGGAATCCTGCATCCTTTGCATGTCTCTCCATCATCTGCATGTAGCTCGATAGGGAGTCACCTCACTTCCTCCGCATGCCACTCGCTAACCGACTACCTTGCCATCCTCCATGGAAAGGTCTGCGGCAGCTTCCTTCTAACGCTCTTGCATGTAACACGAAATCTGCATTTTTTTCTTCTCTTTCCCCCCTCCCCTCCTTTGCATGTTCCCAACCATCGCCTCTTCTGCATGTCCCACGGAGCAGGAAAAACACAGTAAGAGCTCTCCTAATCTCTGCCTTTGCTCAGCGGTTGCTTCTGTGTTCCCTTGGGCAGGGTGATTCCTGCACTGCAATCGGGTTGGGCTAGATGACCTGGAGAGGTCCCTTCCACCGCTACAATTCTTGGGCTGTGCCCAGGCTTGCTGCTTCTGAGCAGGAAGTGGCCTGAGAGAAGCTCTGCGCCTGGGGCCACAGGCCATGCACCATTGTCGCTTTCGCCCCTGATTTTTCACCTTTGATCCAACAGGCTTTGCAGGTTTCGGAAACAAACCGAAAACATGCAGCACCTGTTTGAGCAGAGGCGAAGCATCGGTTAGATCTTGCAGCTTGACTTCGCTTGCTCAGGTTTCTGGTAGGACAGAAATGTGGGGGTTGAGGCAAATAATCTCTCCCCCGCCCCCCAATTCAGGAGACATCATAGAACAGCCCAGCCAAATTCTTATCGGGATGCACAAAAGTTTGCTGAAAGTTTCATAAGGAAACAAAGAAAGTTTCTCAATGGGAAAGGAGGAGAGGAAGACCACAGTTTAATATCACATTTCCCAGTCTCTCTCTGGGTGCCTCCAGATGGGGGTTATTATGGGATGGGGACTCCTCCTGCACTCAGGTGTCTGCAGGGCCCCCAATATATTGTTGTCATCAAAACGCCCATATTTCCCCCCAGTTCCTCTGGATTTAGCCTTTTTTAGAGGAAATCTGTTGCTTGCAATTCATTATGATTATCGTTATTTTTACTGCACGTTTACGTAGATTTCTACAAAATATGTCTCTAACGCGGTGTACAAATGTCAACAAGTGCCCAGCAACTTGTGAACCGTTGAAAGCCAAAAGCACGGAATGAAAGAGAATGCAACGGAGGAAAAAAAATAGTATTGGGGCCACCCCCGGAGAAGGCCCTCTCCCAGGCTGCCATTCTCCCCACTTCTGAGTGCAGTGGAACAACCAAGAGGGGGCCCCTTTTCCCTTTTTCACTTCTTGCCTAGTGATATAACTGGGGTATCGCTTCCACCTCTACATTTCTGCGCTTCTGCAACTGCCCCAGAGGTACCAGCCTACTCCTAGCCCCATGTCCCATCTTTTTGCGGCTCTTGGCCCATTTTCCCTCTCACTTTTTCTCTTCCACTAGTGATGATGACATCGTTTTTGAGGACTTTGCCCGCCAGAGGCTGAAGGGGGTGAAAGACGAGAAGGAGGAGGACGACGACGGGATGAGCTCCCCGCAGCTGAACGACAGATAAACTGGATCTCCTCCCCGTGGGTCTCTCTCTCCATTTCCAAGTCCTGACACCTGAGCACT